AGCTTCTTATTCAACGTTATCTTGCTAGTTAATAAACAAACATAGTTGTCAGAAAGTTTCTATAGTAGGTATATTAAACAACTAATAATTCGTTATAAGATGGGTTAACCTTCTATAGTTGTCAGGGCACAATTACACACTGACGGTTATAAAACTGTGTTCGTCTTGTTCTCTTCTAGTATTCCTTCTGCCAAAGTTGAATCCATCTTTCACTATGGGGAATTTATTTGCTAGCCTCTTTAAAGCATTTGGCAAGAAAGAGATGAGGATCCTCATGGTGGGTCTCGATGCTGCTGGTAAAACAACAATCCTGTACAAACTCAAACTTGGAGAAATTGTAACTACCATTCCAACTATAGGTAAGTAGTAGCACTGGTGGCATGTAGGCCTAAATGTTGTCAGCCCAGTTTGTATGAATATCATATTTTGTGTAACGTTAAGACTTACATTAAAAATATATATAATTAGAAGCAACACAATTAATTTACTCCCGGACATGTTCACGTGTTGCCTCAAATAGATTGTGCAGGTTATTAATGTCTTCTTTCCTCAACTCAGGTTTTAATGTTGAGACAGTCGAGTACAAGAACATAAGTTTTACAGTGTGGGATGTCGGCGGTCAAGACAAAATTCGACCGTTGTGGCGTCACTATTTCCAGAACACACAGGGTAAGTTGTGTGCTGACAGCAAGTCATTTCACTCCTGTCAAAGGGGGGCCAACAGACTAGAGACGTTGAATCAAAATGTTCATGTTTTTCCTCTTGGTGTGTTTTTCAGGTCTCATCTTTGTTGTGGACAGCAATGACAGAGAGCGAGTGAACGAAGCCCGCGAAGAACTGATGAGAATGTTGGCAGAGGACGAACTACGAGAGGCAGTCTTATTAGTATTCGCTAACAAACAGGTAGGCCTAAATTTTCACCTCAAATGTCCATTGTGTGACAGCAAAAAGCCTTTGACTTGCTTTTTTTGTATTAATAATATAGAAAGGACAATACACCTGTTATATACTTTGGATGGTCTTCGCTGGCTTTTGTCTCATAATGGGAGAACTTCTCTTTTCAGGACCTCCCAAATGCTATGAATGCTGCCGAACTCACAGACAAGCTGGGACTGCACTCCCTCCGCCATAGAAACTGGTACATCCAAGCCACCTGTGCCACCAGCGGAGACGGTCTCTATGAAGGACTGGATTGGTTGTCTAATCAGTTAAAAAACCAGAAATAGGCCTAATCATCATAATCCACTGTCCTCCTCAACTCACATATACCTTTTTCACACTATCGTGCCGACCCAAACCGTACAGTGGCTCGGATTATTTTCTTTCACATTGTCCTTTCCAGCACGGTTCTAGCAACTGTGTGGTAGATTAGTTACCAGGCTGGCGCAGTAAAGCTCGGCCCGGCTCAGTAGTGTGAAAAGGGTAACACTGTATCTTCTCTCTACCTTTGCTTTGTACTCTTCTGATGTTGCAAATTCAGCTACTTTTGTCAAAAAGTACCTACTGGAAAGCTGCACTCATTTCTCATCTCTAGTTACAACAATACACCATACGGGCCAGGGGGGATAATAACACAATCATGGAAAGCTGTCTGGGTTTCTTATTTAATGTAAATAGTCTTGTTTTGGGGGGGTTATGAGGCAGCTTATTGCAGACTTACAAAAAATCCACCTTGGTTATTTCCACCTCTTGACCAGGCATATACGTGTCTAGTAAATAGAAAGGGGAGGCAAAAAAAGAAAAATAATTAATGGGACCCCTTGTCTCAACCCTATGTTTGACTTTTTTTTTTACATTATAAGTCTGCTGGTAATTTGTACTTAAAATGAGTGTTTCTTGGGGGGGGGGGGGGGGTAATTCTGAATTATGCATACATACAGATGTACTACTTGCAACAATGATGGTTTAATAGCTCAGAATGCTACAATACCCTGCTCCCCCAAAATACCATTTAGCAAAACACTGAAGAGAGTATTATTGAGATGAAGTCTAAAACAGAGGTTAGTGGGCTTCAAAGTCGAGAACTCTTGTCAACACTTACCAGCTTTTGTTGTGTGTCAGATCATGTTGGCTTTCATTGAGAAGTGGCTGCCATGCAGAGTAACTATGTTCCTCCATGCATCTCATCATTCACCTGCTTTGTGATGGACAGAGGTGCTGTCTGTACAGCATTATGACTTATGTTTGTATGACAGTGGCTCAGGTTAATAATCATGTGTACTGCCTTTGTCGCAGTGAGCCTGAATTTAATAGCAAAAAAAGTGCATGATGTGGTCTGTATGTTGGACAAGCAACAAGTGCACGTTCAACATACACAGATTCTGCACAAATCAACAGATTTTCACAATGCCTGGCGAGGCAGAGTTCCTGCCTATCCATTTGCTATAATAATCACATGTTCTGTGCAGAATCTAATATCTCAAACACACATTGATTGTCTGCAGGACTAGCTAATTGATTGTTAATGTTTGTCTGCATAAGCATTATGTCATTACTCCTCTTGTCAGCTGCAGGTGCTCAAGGGTTGGGATACCTTGATGTCCTCAACATCAGCATCACAATGACTTAAACCACAACAACCTTGTAACTCAGGGGTCATCAACCTTTTCTTGGCCAGGGACCCCCTCCCAGGCAAACTGGTGACCCAGGGACTCCCATCATATGTTAGCCAAAACATATTTTCCTCATGTCTTATCAGGTGAATGATAATGTCAAGGAGAAGTAATCAAAACATTTAAAAATGAATAGATTTGGTAAATAGTTTTTCATTAGTTTGACCTCCCCACATTATAATTGGAAGAGGAAGTGTAAACTCTAACATAGCCTATTAGCTAGAAAGGAAACCGCAAACACTTTCTCTAAGCGCAGCTGTTTAGCTGGTTATCCATGTTTTGGCAAAAATGTATGTCCAAATCAGGAAAACTTACCAGCAGCCAGTAGCACTTGCCACGCTGGTAGCCTATTTTTCAAAGCCTATGTCCGATACTCCAGTGAGTGTAATTTGCTCGATATTAGGAGTTGAGAAATAAAGTTTACATCATTAGAAAGAAGATACTCTCCTCTTTTCTGCTGTAGGTATGTCATTCAAAATGTGTTTAGTCTGTTGTTGCTAGCGATATTCATAAAAACATTGAACCCCCATCACAGACCCCCTGCAGTACCTCCGCGGTCCCCAGGTTGTTTACCCCTGCACTCAAGGTATATGCTATATGATGCACTGGTATGACAAAAGCAGTTGTATTCTAAATTCTGATGTCCTGCATTTTCCTCCATCATCATGACCTGAAGACCTTGTTTTTGTCCCATTTTATTGAGAATGATAAAAGTATATTAATAGTTTTGGAACGAGGCATGTATTAATGTCAGTGGCAATATGAGATCTGTATGAACTCCGTATTTTTTACTTAGTGGGCGCTAGTATTTTCTTCTCTCCTTTGTAGCTCATGTTGTCCTTGGCTAAGTTCTGAGGGGATGCTTTTGTCCTCATGTCAAAGAAACATGCTGTTCCATTACAAACCTTTGAGCTTCTTATCAAAAGGTTCTGGGTGTTATTCCACCAGAGTGCTATGGACACTTCTTAGTCTTTCTTTTAAAGCAAGGCGTTGGGAAAAAAATAAACGTATCTTGATTGATAACTGATTGCCTGAACCTTTTGTTGAAACATTGTTAATCTCTTTAGCAGAACTTTGTCAATTTGTTTTTGCTGTAAAGTTATTTCAGCTTTAATTTTTTTGTGAGAAAAGCACTAATTAAAGTGATTAGAGAATGTTTACATGTTCTGTTGTTTTTCATGTAATTCTCTTTAACTGAATTAGTTATTGGATTTGATCATGCTGACATTGCACCAACCTCTATCCTCTTTGGACTCAGAGGGCGGAAGGTACAGTGAACATTATCGGTCAACAGCAAGGAAGGCAACATATACTGAATGAATCTGCCAACTGGCACAAAGCAAATATTGTATATTTTACCACTTACATATTTACTATTAATAACTTCCAGGTTAGAAACCCACTCTGCCCCATGCGTAGGAGTTAAATCAAGCCTAGATCTCTCCCCATTATGACAGTTTGAATTCAAAATGACACCTCATCCTAATCTAAAAATGGACATTGCCTGTGCTTTGGTGTCACACAGCCTCCTCCCTTCTCTTGTCCCAAATCCTCAATCACACCTAACAACTCTCACCCCATGACCTGGGACTAAGGGAGTGGGTTGGTCCAAGGTGATGGCAGCCAACTAATCACCCAAAGCTGATGTTGAATAAGTGACAAATGGCTATAGCTGGGCCGGTCTCTTGTCAGTCTGTTACGTTGGGTCTGCACCAGGCGCCAGAGATGGGGGGTGGCAATAATTGGGGAGCAATCTAGGACGTTATTTCAGGTTGATTAGGCTGCCATGGTTAACGCAGCAAAGCCTATAAAACATGGCAGCAGAGTATGGTGATTGTGGAAGGAGGGGGCAGGAGTCTCACGTCCCTTACAGTGTGGCTTTGTCCATCAGCCTGGTTTGTGTGGTGCTCTGCCATATAAAGGACCAGCCTGTTTTTTTTTTGCACTCTCCTTTGTGAATGCCTTGCTCTTTTTAGTGGACCACTAGGTGCCAGGCAGCAGAATGTCCCCTTTCAGAACTGATTCAAGGCAAATGCAATGCTAAACTCCATTATGACCACTGGAGTGCATTCCAATGGTATCTTACCACAGCCAGGGAACTGAACCTAGAACAGAAAAGGAGATCTGGCTTGATGGAGGAAAGAAAAGGAGCAAAGCTGCTGAATACTGTGAGAGGCACAGTGGGATGGAGAGAAGTGTTATAGACCACAAGCCTCAGGGAGCATCGGCGTGTGGATTTAACAGATTTTTTATTTAACCAGGCAAGTCAGTTAAGAACAAATTCTTATTTACAATGACGGCCTACACCGGGCCAATTGTGAGCCACCCTATGGGACTCCCTGGAATCTAAGCATTGTCTGTAGTGACACCTCTAGCACTGAGATGCAGTGCCTTAGACCACTGCACCACTCGAGACTGACAAACCAAAGAGGAGAAGACTCAATAACATTTAGGTGTTGGCGCACATTTATTTTTTATTTTTTTACTGGTGGTATGGGCAAGTGTGACACCGGAATTAATGTCTTGGACACCAATAGTTTGTATTGACTAACTTATTTTCAGCACCAAGAACACATGCACTTAACTTGCTTTCGGTAGTCCCTGATTCAATTGCATGAAGTGTCCTTCAATTTTGGTAGCTAGACTTAGATCATAAAATACATTTGTGCTGGTTCAGAAAAATAAAATACCAATAGAAACAAATTTAACAATTCAAAATTCAACACAAATAAAAAACTGGTCAGTTCAAACAAGGCCACAAGCCTGCTGGTGGTTTAAGGAGTAGCCTACAGATTGACCTACTGTTCTCAACCACAGCCCTTGAGTCCAGTCCAGAGGTACATGAGGACAGTCCATAGACCAGTCAAGCTGCTCTGCTGTGGACTAGAGCGCTCCTCTCCCTCGGCGTGTCTCTGATTGAGTGGGGGGGGGGACATTAGTCGTCAGAGTCTGTGTCATGGCGCCGCCTGTGGCTTTGTGTCGGAGCAGCATGGGCTGCCTTGTAGCTGGCACGGTGACGGGGGACAGGGGACCCCCTGTCGGAGGAGTGTGTGTCATGCCTCTGCTGGCGTCGTTGGGAGGATGGGGGGTGGCGCTCACCCTTTGGTCCCCCCCTTGAATGGCTGTCATGGTGTCTGGCTCCAGTCTGACTGAGGCATGATGGATTATGATGATGGTGGTCCTTTCTGCGCCTGAGGAGTAAAGAAACACACACACAAACAATCAATGATTGGGACTAATAGGCGGGGGTCGAAGTAAGCTGATGTGACAGCTGGCTGAGGAAGATAAATCAGGGATACACTGAATGTTATGATACAAACCATTGCCTCATCTATAAAGGATGATAACTATCTGGGTTCCATAGGAGAATAATAAATAAGGCCCGCCCCCAAACAAGATAAGCATGACATGGCCTGGATGATGCATTCACTCAGTTCAAAATCAACCCTACACCTTGTTTTACATTTATAAGACTCTCTTCCTGTTGCTAAACATCCCAAGCCTCCTTTTTTAATCAGTCCTGTATTACCACAGAATAAGGCAGCTGGACACATTAACTGACACATCCCTAGTAAGGGTACAACCTGTTCAATATTTCGACCAAGCATACAAAGTCTAATGGTTGACGGAACATTAGCAGTTTGGCAAAAACTCAGCTTTTGAGATGGAACCAAAAACCAGCTCTTCAACAGTGATTTAGCACCCTCTAGTGCTAAAGCCAATAAGCCTTGTAACGTTATTGGGACATTGGTGTTCGGTTTTCTTGTGATTTTATCAGTTTAAAAAAGGAAAGGCAAAGATAACATGACATACAAGTGACCTGCAGATCTAACGGGGACAAACAACACGTTAACCTTTTGTCATCGTCCGAATCGGAGGAGGAGGAAGAGTCTCTTCTCTGCCTTTTCTTCTTCTTTTTCTTCTCTTTTTTGCTCTTCTTTTCCTTCTTCTTTTTGCTGCTCTCATGTCTATGACGAGAAAGTATAACGGACAAGTCTTTTGAGTATATATATATATATATTTTTGCCAGTAATCGGAAGAAATTTACCTCAGAGAATCGTTTGTCAACACAATATGTGATGAATAACACATTACCTTTGATCCACATCCTGTTTCTCTGTGTTCTCAGATGTTTTTCTGGCAGAGGCTTCCTGGTTTCCAGACTTCCCTTCTGTTTTATGGTGCTGTGAAAACAATGCTCTCCATTATGACCATAATCATGTAACATCTAACATGACTATTACAGAATCAATTCCCAAGTGGTATCAATCATGTTTTAAAAATATGTAGCTAATACAAATGGATTAACACCCAGAGAGCATGAAAATAAACTTACTGTAAAGACTGACAAGCCGATTTTGGCAGCTTCCTTCTCCTGTTGGGAGAACACCATTTTCCGTGACGTTGCACTGGTAACAGAAAACATACTCATAGTTACTCAACTACTACACTCCGATCCATTATGGGAAGCACTGTTTTTTCCACTTGAATTTCAAGGGGATACTCTGCCATGGACTCATCTACGCTGCTACAAAAGTCTAAACAAGAGTGAAGAGAGACCTGAGAGAATGCTTAGAAGGCATGGGAAAAAATCTCTAAACTGAGGTTTCCAGAGGGCGGCAGGTAGCCTAATGGTTAGAAAGTTGGGCCAGTAATCAAAAGATTGTGGGTTCGAATCCACAAGCAAACTAGGTGAAAAATATGCCGATGTACCCTTGAGCAAGGCACTTAACCCTAATTGCTCCTGTAAGTTTCTCTGGATGAGTGTCTACTAAATGACAAAAAATTAAAATGAGGATACACAAACAACTCAAAAACCTTTCATCCCTTCTTGATGAGAAGTCTCCTACAGTATCAACCCAGCTTTAAAACAGAATTTGAGCAACAACCACTTTTGCAAACAGTTCAGAGTCAGTTACCCGGAGCTTCCAAGGCCAGAGACTCGGTCCACATCTCTGTCCTCAGCTTCCGTATCCTCCCTCCTGCACACATCTGCAAGGTCCTGTTGGGCACATTGGAATCAGCATTACAAAAGCAATCCTGTATTCATCCTTAAGATGTATGATCAAATATATTTAGAAATGGCTTCTCCTTGCTTTTTGGGATCTAGGCTAGTTACGGTAAATCACTTTGTAACAACTGCTAAAAAAATCTAAATAAATGATATTGAAACTAAATTAAATGTTATCTTCCCTGGTCTAATGCAGTTGCGATACTATAAAATTAAGACATGATTATAATCCAAACAATACTAAGACTTGTGTAAACAAAAAGCACATAATATAAATGTGTCTCAAAAACACTATGAAGGCAAAAAAGCACCTCTTTGGTCAGGCCAGTTGGTTGTCTCTTTATATTCTTGTGACCTCTGAAAATAAAGAATAAGACATTTTAGTTTGACATTTTACACTAATATTTCTGTAAGGTAGTTGTTCCTGTGTGATGTTCCACTTACAGGGCAGCCAGGAGTGCCTCTTGCTCTGCTGCCTTCACAGCAGCAAGCTCCTCTTCTCTTGACATAGGTTTAACACCGCCTTTTTTGTCTTTGGCATACCAAGTCAGATCTTTGCCTTTCTGCCATCGCCCCACTGGTGCCATAAGAGAGTTCCCTGGGGATGAAACAATAGCAGGGATGTAAATATACTCCAAATGCATGCATGCCCAAATCAGAGACATGGCTAAGTAATAAAGTTACATAAAGAAGTGATTGCCATAACTATTCTTCTCCAGGTTGATATCTAAAATCAAAGAGTTTGCAACGATGCAAACGTTGCAGTGTTGAATACACCCCTCTCCTGCTGGCTGCACAGTGTAAAATCATTGATAGTTATCGTTCGTGACCAGTGTATTAATTTGGATAAATGTTGATAAAATCTCAAATTGTACAATATTTTAAATTAGTCAATTCAACTATAATGGCTCCTTCATGTATATCATATAGCAAGCCATATCTGTACGCAGACTAGCTACGTAGCATAATTGCATTCCCTGACCAGCTGCAATCGAGTGTGCGTGGCCGCTCTCCTTGGTTAGCATAGTCAATTGTGTGCACTTGGTTTTATCTTAATCTCAAATTCACCATTCCAACATAGCTAGCTAGGTAAAAAAAAAAACATTCAAGGTACAAAGTACATTCAAGGCAGAAAATCTGAGTTGTTGACAAGCAATGCAACGTTAATGAGGGACTGACTACACTAAGGGAAAAGGTAAGAACGTGGCACTCGTGAAGAAATGTTTCCAGGCTAACAACGTATTGCGATCTTACGGTAACGTTAGCTAGCTTCATTGTCGATTCTTATAACTTGCTAAGTAGCTACCTACTGTATCTAGTTTCATCTAGAAAGTAGCTAGCTAATTACTTACTAGAAAAACGTTGGACCGAATTATCAGTTGGCTAGTCGCCCTGCTATGTATTCGCAAAGAAGCGAATCGTTAGCTACTACAGTAGACAGACAAAGGTCATGGATGGATGCCCATTTTACTCCACTTACCGAGGTAGTTTTCCCTGTGTTTATCGCCTTTCACGTCATCCCAGTTGAATTGGTCTTGCCCTCCCCTTACACCCCCAGATCTCGAGGCACCAAACATTATTTTAGCGTTGGATAAAGACGATGAAAGCGTTGTTTACACGTTAGGCCCTCTCGACTAATGATGTCCATCCGGGGAGTTTCCTTCTGGTTTTTCTCTCCCACGTCCGTTTACGAAGAGATAGCTAGCACTTAGATGATATAACAAGCGATGGTTCGAAGCATGGAGAGTAACCTTTTCCGTGTTTTGAATAAACGAAGTTAGCTTGATTAAAACGTTGAAAAACTCAGAACGAAAACCACACCGTTGCTAACCGTTCTGTCTCGCGCGTTTGTGCGCTGATCATCTGCAAGCAAATAGCTCTTTAGTTGGGGGCGTTCATTACGCACAGTTCGTAATGCTGAATCTACAACCACTGTAAAATACTCATGAAGCAATTCGACTGTAATTATATTATATATCTGCTTTTTGCATTGGTTTGGTTGTAGATTTTCAAACGGTCTGTGTATCGCGCGCGGAAATACCACCGCCTTTTCACTTTGAATGTACTCCACTGAGGTATACACACTGTTATATGAACGATGTACTCTCGTTTATTTGGATCGTGATGATGACGTCGAAACAAATCTATGTAATGGCTCTCACGCGGAATGTAGACAGAAAAGGGAGAAGACCACTAAGGTATACTAAGTACGGAAAAGACGCCTTGGAGACATTATTGAGATCTTCAACCGCAGTCATTGTAGATGTATACGAGGTATTTATCCAGGCTCTTCTCAGGTAGGATGATCATATATTATTTTGACCGCTAGTCTATAAATATTTCTCAATAGCCCTGCTGTTTTTGCTTTATCATCACCTGAAGCGAACCAGTCTGTCACACAGGTCATAAGCATTGGTCAATCCGTGTTCAAGGCATTATTCTGTACCCAGGAAATATCACTTATTTACTGTAAAATGTGGATACCAAAAGGCTTTAAATATAAGGTCAGGTGTCCTTCACCTTAAAAACACAAAAATATGGATCTTGAGAGGAAATGTTATGCAATTTTTAACACTTTTTTCTTCTTCAGTGGATGTAGGCGTTTTGCCATGACCCCGGGTGTTATTCATCAAATTCCACGAGAAAAATAAGCCATAAAATATTCAATCTTTCTTAATTATTTTATAATAATAATCATAATAATAATATTATTATTATTAATTCTTTTATAGTCCTAGTTAAATTGTCTTTCATCAATAGCGTTTTTTTCATAATTGTTGTATTTATTATAATTGTATTTAAGATTTTCTGATATCACTTTCCACCCTGTTAATTTGTTGTAATTCTCTATTTAAGAAAACAACCCCTTCCTACAATGACACCACATTCAGGAACTGTCATAACTTCTTTGGTGGGAAAACAATGGTGCAAAGCTAAATAAATATAAACACTGTTTTATCTATTTTTCCCTGTTTCATGTTAGTCTGTATGTCCCAGTCATACATTTCCACACTGTTAGGCTAAATTATAGAGAAAATAAACCAATGATGTTTGATAGAGAAGTTAAAATCCTTTAAAAATGTTCACCATTATGCTAGCTCAATCTTGCTCACTCACAGAGCTATGGCTAATTTAGGCTCCAAATTTCCACCCTGTTAGGATTATGCACCTAACAGGTTGGAAAATACACCCCAACATTTTTTAAAGTGCCTGAGCTTGACCAACATGTTATTCTGTAAGTCAAACATGTCCTTTTTCTGATAGAATAAAACAACAAAAAATATATGCTTTTCCCCAAAAATGATGAGCTCCAATAGGCACCGCATAGTAGGAATGACCCAGCTGTCTAATTCTCTGTCCATTTATGTTGAAGTTGAAATGTCTTGTTTACATAATCATCATCATCTATCCCCTCCCACACAGCTAACCTGCTAGATTTAGGCTATAACATAAGTGGTACATTGCTCTATTATGGCTTGAAATCTTATCAACTTGGATGTTTCTAGAAAGCTATGAGTTTATTATAGGGGACAATATGGGGAGAAAAGGAAAACTGATTTTTAGTACAGATTGGACCTGTTTTGGCAGCTTTTGTCTACTTACTGTTGAATGGGGGAAATTTTTTTGGCCTCATTTTAACCGCATAGAATAGGGATGGAAGACCTTTTTAGGTAAGAACCTTCTCATGCAATATGGTTTAGAATCGGGGATAGGCAACTTTGATGGGGGTGGGGGCCACCAAAAATCTGAACTCATCATGGGGGGCCGTAGTGGCTTGATTGTATGTGTACCCACATCCATACCCACACATGCATTCAGAGGTGTCCCTAGCATTTTTGGGGCCGTAAACTGTCCGCAAGGCTAATTTACCAATCTAAAAATGTTAGTTTTTGACATGGGCTAATTGAGTGACTGTCAGTGAACGATATATCAAAAGAAAAACTGCTGAAATACCACATTTCGAAATTGTACCTTGTGTATTCTACTTTTCTAACTCTCAACATAAATTTTTTGCTTTTTGTCTTTGCAAATTGATCTGCGGGCCTACAAAAGGGGGCCCGTGGGCCGCCAATTGCCCATCCCTGGTTTAGATTAAAGTTAAACATATCCTCCCTTAGGTTCCACGTGTGTAGGCTATACATACACTATATATACAAAAGTATGTGGACACCCCTTTACATTTGTGGATTTGGCTATTTCAGCCACACCTGTTGCTGATTGGTGTATAAAATCGAGCACAAAGCCATGCAATCTCCATAGACAAACATTGGCAGTAGAATTGCCTTACTGAAGAGCTCAGTGACTTTCAATGTGGCACTGTCATAGGATGCCACCTTTCCAACAAGTCAGTTTGTAAAATGTATGCCCTGCTAGAGCTGCCCCCGTCAACTGTAAGTGCTGTTATTGTGAAGTGGAAACGTCTAGGAGCAACAATTGCTTAGCTGCGAAGTGGTAGGCCACACAAGCTCACAGAACGGGACCGCCGAGTGCTGTAGCGCGTAAAAATCGTCTGTCCTCGGTTGCAACACTGACTACTGAGTTCCAAACTGCCTCTGGAAGCAACGTCAGCACAAAAACCTTTCGTCGGGAGCTTCATGAAATGGGTTTCCATGGCTAAGCAGCCACACAGAAGCCTAAGATCACTGTGCGCAATGCCAAGCGTCGGCTGTAGTGGTGTAAAGCTCACCGCCATTGGACTCTGGAGCAGTGAAAACGCGTTCTCTGGAGTGATGAATCAAGCTTCACCGTCTGGCAGTCTGGGAAGAATCTGGGTTTGGCGGATGCCAGGAGAACGCTACCTGCCCGAATGCATAGTGCCAACTCAGCATACAATGACATTCTAGACGATTCTGTGCTTCCAACTTTGTGGCAACAGTTTGGGGAAGTCCCTTTACTGTTTTAGCATGACAATGCCCCCGTGCACAAAGCAAGGTCCATACAGAAATGGTTTGTCGAGATTGGTGTGGAAGAACTTGACTGGCCTACACAGAGCCCTGACCTCAACCCCATCGAACACCTTTTGGGATGAATTGGAACGCCGACTACGAGCCAGGCCTAATCGCCCAACATCAGTGCCCAACCTCACTAATGCTCTTGTGGTTGAATAGAAGCAAGTCCACGCAGCAATGTTCCAACATCTAGTGGATAGCCTTCCCAGAAGAGTGGAGGCCGTTATAGCAGCAAAGGGGGGACCAACTCAATAATGCCATGATTTTGAAATGAGATGTTTGACAAGCAGATGTCCACATACTTTTGGTCATGTAGTGTATCTTACCTGACTTAGCACTTTGTTATCGCAGGCTGCAGCGGATTAGAAAACCCACTAATCAGTAGCAGCCTAATGAAATTAGGAGCCAACTGAATTCACATGATGAAAGGTTGGTCACTGTCTGGCAAAGATCGATCACATGCTGTGGAACAGTGGAAAGCATATATAAGGGTTAACCTAAAGTAAACCTAATGCCAAATCTGTAATGGCATGCAGAGCAACGTTTCCTGTAACCAATTCAATTAGCTTTATACCGTGCCTGCAGTCGGCTCACATGCTCCTCGTTTTCTGTAACACATAGGCTGTGTTTACACAGGCAGCCCAATTCTGATATTTCTTTCACTCATTTGTCTTTTGACCAATCAGATCTGAAAAATATCTGATGTGAAAAGATCTGATGTGATTGGGCAAAATACCAATTAGTGGAAACAATATCAGAATTGGGCTGCCTGTGTAGACGTAGCCTATAGCCAATTTTTCTGTCATGTTTGAAAAGTGGTGCCTTTATATGTTAGGGACATCTTATAGGCTTGGCCTGTGTATGGTGTCATTGTAGACCCCATTTTTTTTGAATATTTGCTGTACAGGCTAACTTGTCACCTTCTCTTGAATTATAAAATTTCTGGCTGGTATTCTGACTGCAAGGAAGAGAAAGTTAGATCTAAACATAGCTAGATGCAGTTACTTATTAGGCAATGGAAATTTGACTGGATATAGCCTAAACCACTCTTATAGTCTATTTTCTGTTCACATGTTTTTGTGACAACAGTCTGACCCTCTGCATCCCAGCGTCAACTCCATGACTGATTCTGACATGGAAAGGAGCTGTGAATTGGTTTGTGGTTTAAACATTCAAGAGGCGGTGGAGAATGAATGCCTCTGTCACCAGCAGCTGTCAGGAAAAACCTCAGTGCATGTAGCAAATCTTTTTTGCAGGGGATGAGCTCAGGTCTGATTAGCCTATTACACGAGATAATAAAAAAATGAATGGAAATTAGCTCATATGGAATCATAGGCTACATGGCTACTATAACAAACTCCTTTTTCTGCAGACAACTCTAGTTCCTTTAAATTAGCATCTATAGATTTATACGGAGGAGGCAGCACTTAAGTAAAGTATGTCACATCATCCGCATGGAGTGTCTTATTTTTGGACATCTACCCAAACCCACTGATACATTACTTTTCAGTAAGTAGCTTAAAACAGTATAGCCTAGCAATGTATAAATGACATGGTCGTTGAAGGTGCAATGCTATTTTGTGGAATGAAGAGGCATTTGTCATTTATGAAAAAGGCTTTTTAGGTCTAGATGTGTTTGCAGTGTTTAATAATAATGAAGTAGACTGTTGTACGATAGATCATTTCTCACCTGACTGTATTTTGTGTTTTGCATGATTAGTTTATCATTTCCATAGCCTAGAGACAACTGAAAGAAGCAGGCATTATCTAGGCTATGTCACGAGCTGCTGGACAGGGTTTAGGCTACCGTGTAACTTACTGAGAGGTGATTGGAGGGAGCAGCGATTTAGTTCCCTATGTTTGTACAGTGCTCAGTCTGCTCCCACACACACCACATAGACTGACACACCCGGCTCCAGTATATAATAGTGCTGCTCATTCACTTGCCAATCCAGTCCGCTCACATCCTGCTGCTCTCCCTCACTCACACATCTACTGAAAGTGACTGAAGGTAAGGAGGAAGAGGGACTTTAGCCTATATATATGATCTAGCCTATATGGCTAACAACTAAAGATAATTATGTAATAGGATAGGTTTATAGGCTAGGGCAGAAGAAATATGATTGTAAAGCTGTTTTATTGACTTGTTTTAACTAATTTCAAAATAGTCTTATCATTACTATTATCACTGTCATTATCTCTATAGTTGACCTGGCTGTGTTGACTCGGCTGATGGTTTGTAGTACACAAGCTAAATTTAAAATAAAATAAATCCACGGTATGTGGCTGTTCCTCTTTCAGATTGTACTAGTTTCAGTTTAGGTCTAGACCTATTAGTATAACATTTGCTGAGCATGTCTGAATTGGACAACACAGTACAAAAATAGCCTAGGCTACATCATAAGAAACAAGTAAACATTTAGCCTAGGATCATACTGATTTAGTCTTTTTAAATGTATTTGCTGGTAAGAAGTCATTGCAGACAGTGTACTGAAAGCACTTATGCCTTGCAATCAGAAGCAGCAGGGTAATTTTAGGCTCTCCAATTAGTAGATTGTTCCATGGTGGTGCCGTGGTAACGGCCTAATGGGACTTAATAACCACTCTAGCTGTGTTGGTCCTACTAGTCTTGTTGGAACATGTTCTGATTGCATAGGACGTTTACTACAGAATCACCTTCTGAATTTCTTTTTTCAAAAGGCAATTAATCTGTTTGTTCCATGTTTTGTGGAATACTTGGTTCGTCATATCCATTTCATATTCATCCCTTAGACCTATTGTGTATTCTTTAGACCAGGTATATTACACCTACCCTTGTACTACAGGTGAACCATTTATGTAAGCTCACAAGATCAGTGTGGTAGTACCAGCCTATACTACACTAACTGTCAGATCTATTTCAATATAGGCTACTTGAGATTGTACCAGTTTCATGTGAGCAAAAGAAAGGCCTAGCTGTTTCACATGACACCAGTTGCAACCATTTGTATAAAATGATCTTTCCATCTGGTTAACCACCACACCCTGTGCAGTGAGGAATTCCAGACTGTGTGTGTGTTTTCTTCTTCTCTTCTCCTCTAACCCTCTGTCTCTTCTTCTCTCCTCCTCTCCCCCAGCTATGGCAGGACCTAGGCCAGTGGTGCTGAGTGGCCCGTCGGGGGCTGGGAAGAGCACGCTGCTCAAAAAGCTGCTCAAGGAGTACGAGGGCATCTTTGGCTTCAGCGTCTCACGTAAGTGTCCTCTGCTCCAGTCCCATGTTAACTGTGTATAATGTCAGGGAGGTGTCAGTTACAGAAATAAGATATCCAATTGTGTGCTCTCATCCCTCAGATACAACAAGGAGCCCTCGTCCTGGTGAAGAGAATGGTAAAGGTAGGTAGGGTTTTTAAACTCCCAAGATAGACAATCTTGCTACAAATCCTCCTGCTACATCTCTTTAATTAGCTTTAACCACCTATGCTGTCCCCTGTGTCCTATTGTTTTCAACAACCAACCTTTTAACATGAAACTGTTTTGTTGTGTTTCAGATTATCATTATGTTACAAGGGAGTATATGCAGGCCAGCATCGACAAAGGGGAGTTCATTGAGAGCGCAGTGTTTTCAGGAAACATGTACGGGACGAGCAAGGCCTCCGTGCAGGCCGTCAAGGACAAGAACCTGATCTGCGTCCTGGACATCGACATGCAGGGCGTGAGGGCGGTCAAGACGACAGACCTCAACCCCATCTACGTCTTCATCCAACCTCCGTCCATGAACATCCTGGTGAGAGACGGGCAGCATTATAAAACTGTTTACCAGGGCCACTTTTGTCACGTTTTACTTTGAAAGACTTGATATACCATATTGAATGTTATTGTTTATAAACGTGTAATATGGTTATAAACCTATATTAACTCCTCTATCAGTCTGGGATTGTGATCCAAAGCTAAACACCCATGACTTCATTAATCTTCTTCTGTCATTTGTAATTTTAGGAGAAACGTTTAAGAGACAGAAAGACTGAGTCAGAGGAGAGCCTCCAGAAACGTTTGCATGCTGCTCAGGTGGACATGGTGATAAGTGAGTCTGATTCTGGAGAGACTTTGGGCTAAAACAGAGTTGTATGTTTATACACTACTCAAAAAAATTAAGGGAACACTAAAATAACACATCCTAGATCTGAATGAATGAAATAATCTTATTAAATACTTTTTTCTTTACATAGTTGAATGTGCTGACAACAAAATCACACAAAAATTATCAATGGAAATCAAATTTATCAACCCATGGAGGTCTGGATTTGGAGTCACCCTCAAAATTAAAGTGTAAAACCACACTACAGGCTGAACCAACTTTGATGTAATGTCCTTAAAAGAAGTCTAAATGAGGCTCAGTAGTGTGTGTGGCCTCCACGTGCCTGTATGACCTCCCTACAACGCCTGGGCATGCTCCTGATGAGGTGACGGATGGTCTCCTGAGGGATCTCCTCCCAGACCTGGACTAAAGCATCCGCCAACTCCTGGACAGTCTGTGGTGCAACGTGGCATTGGTGGATGGAGCGAGACATGATGTCCCAGATGTGCTCAATTGGATTCAGGTCTGGGGAACGGGCGGGCCAGTCCATAGCATCAATGCCTTCCTCTTGCAGGAACTGCTGACACACTCCAGCCACATGAGGTCTAGCATTGTCTTGCATTAGGAGGAACCCAGGGCCAACCGCACCAGCATATGGTCTCACAAGGGGTCTGAGGATCTCATCTCGGTACCTAATGGCAGTCAGGCTACCTCTGGCGAGCACATGGAGGGCTGTGCGGCCCCCCAAAGAAATGCCACCCCACACCATGACTGACCCACCGCCAAACCGGTCATGCTGGAGGATGTTGCAGGCAGCAGAACGTTCTCCACGGCGTCTCCAGACTCTGTCACGCCTGTCACGTGCTCAGTGTGAACCTGCTTTCATCTGTGAAGAGCACAGGGTGCCTGTGGCGAATTTGCCAATCTTGGTGTTCTCTGGCAAATGCCAAACGTCTTGCACGGTGTTGGGCTGTAAGCACAACCCCCACCTGTGGACGTCAGGCCCTCATACCACCCTCATGGAGTCTGTTTCTGACCGTTTGAGCAGACACATGCACATTTGTGGCCTGCTGGAGGTCATTTTGCAGGGCTCTGGCAGTGCTCCTCCTGCTCCTCCTTGCACAAAGGCGGAGGTAGCAGTCCTGCTGCTGGGTTGTTGCCCTCCTACGGCCTCCTCCACGTCTCCTGATGTACTGGCCTGTCTCCTGATAGCGTCTCCATGCTCTGGACACTACGCTGACAGACACAGCAAACCTTCTTGTTACAGCTCGCATTGATTTGCCATCCTGGATGAGCTGCACTACCTGAGCCACTTGTGTGGGTTAGACTCCGTCTCATGCTACCACTAGAGTGAAAGCACCGCCAGCATTCAAAAGTGACCAAAACATCAGCCAGGAAGCATAGGAACTGAGAAGTGGCCTGTGGTCACCACCTGCAAAACCAGTCCTTTATTGGGGGTGTCTTGCTAATTGCCTATAATTTCCACCTGTTGTCTATTCCATTTGCACAACAGCATGTGAAATTTATTGTCAATCAGTGTTGCTTCCTAAGTGGACAGTTTGATTTCACAGAAGTGTGATTGACTTGGAGTTATATTGTGTTGTTTAAGTGTTCCCTTTATTTTTTTGAGCAGTGTAAATGAAATGTTGAAAAGTTGTCTAAAACTGTTTCCCCTATCTTTCAGGCAAGGATCCTGGAATATTTGACGTTGTCATTGTCAATGATAGTCTTGACGATGCCTATGGGAAGTTGAAAGACGCTCTTATTGAGGTCAGTTGGTATCGACATAGAGCTGGGTATGATGGACTGGACCATATGCACCATTTAGCTTGGTGAAAACCAATGAGTCATATAATGTGTATTGCTAAATCCTTAATAGATCTTTGTCAGTGTTGAATTTCAGAATCTCCAAAATGTCATCCTCAAACCTTCTTTCTTTCTTAAGGAAATCAAAAAAGTCCAGAAAACCAACTTGTCTTCTTAGGCGACGAGAAGCCTGACATCCATCCCAGCCATCCTGGCCACTCCTTACAAAATGGCAGCCCCTCTATTCCAATCCTGGACATTCCGTCAGATACTGGTGTGGGAAGGAACTCCAGACAACTTCTCTCGACCCTAACCACATATGGTAGCCTCTTGAGTGTGCAGGAAGATCTAGCTTATGTTTTTACATATTTGGAAGATATAGATAGGTATTAAGATGATAAAATACTGTAAATAGAGGTAGAAGTGGACTATTTTGCTGTATTTACTCATTTGGCACAAAGTTTTTGTTTTTTTATCCACAAGAAAAATACTACATTAATGGTTAACCTGTGACTGAGATGGTCCCTAATATTTTTTTCTTGTTTTATTTTATTATGAAGGCGGGGGTTACTGCATACAGGAGTTTCTGCCGCCATGTTTTTTCTTCTGTCCATTTACCAGTATTATAGCCTCAAAGCATTAACTGTATTCACTCTGCTCTTCAACAACAGAAGGCCATAATAACAAGACTGATTCCCACTAATGGCAGTGTTGTAGTACTCGAGACCACATATTGAGTGTCTCGGTCTTGTCTCAGTGTCGGATACATTTGTACTCGGTCTTAACTCAGTCTCAGACAGTGAGGACTCGTAATTTCTTCGAGACCAGCGGAGTAAAAAAACTCATTATCAGCTTCCATTCAATCAGCCCATAAAACCGCCTCGCCAGGCCAAATATATACACTCCTTTCTTGAAACATGAATATCTTAACAGCCTTTATATCTGTTATCGACATGTTTGCTCGGTGGCGAACCTATAGCCTTCAGTGTGTGACAGGTCCGTGATTCTGAAAGGACAGCAACCATAATACCAGCGCACTCATGTAGGAGAGTGCACTTTTTTGTAAAACACAATATGTAGCAAGCTAAAAAAAACACGGCGCCTAACGTTAGCTAGACAGCTACACTAGCTAGCTAGGAGGATGTCATGCCATTGGAGGAGTGGGTGAGTGACTGACTTTTCCCCCGCATCGTTTTTCGGTGGCTATACACAGCTAGAGATGCAGGTGTCATTTGGTTAGCTACCAAGAACTTGAACGACTGTTATACAGTTAGCATATCTCTTTCGTTCGCAAATTCACTCTGGCTATCTACTCCGATTTCAGAGCACTCTGGTCTGAGTGTGCCAGAGCGCAGAACAACAGCTGAATTTACGAAGTGCAACACTTGCTGAATATGACCGGTGTCAGTAAACATAGGCAAAAAAAAAGTAACAGTTAGTCAAGAACGCTCTAGATAACATGTAAACAGCCTAACCAGCTCTGCTATGACGAGTAAAATGGTCAGAGTGAGGTGTTCTCTTTTGTGTCTGGAAGTAGCTAGCTAGCCAACTTTAGCCAGGTAGCTTGGGTGCTTGGTTGGGACAAGCATGCATTGGCAGGCAAGCTGCAGAAGGACAAGGGGCTACAATTCCCCATAGTTTATCAGTGCAATTTTGACAGCCAACTAGCTGAAAAAGTTTGAGAGGGTTTATCTAATGTTCCTTTGTTAGATTTTAGCTAATCTTGCTCTGGCTAGCATTAGTTGTTGATCTTGTTGTTGATGAGCATAACTGAGGGAGAGAGACCCTACCTTTTCATGGTTGTTTGAGCAATAGGACTGTAAAGTTCCCAAATGTAAGAGGACTCCCGTGGTGTTTGTATATTTGCAGAAATCCATTCAGGTGCATTTTGTGGCTTTTGGCGAATGCGTTCTAATGACCTAAAGTTGCGTTGTTGCAACTGCCTGTAAACACACAGTCCAGTTCAAAGTGAATGATGGCAGGCCCCTGTGGCAAATTTATTGTTTGTATAAAGGCTTACTGTAGCTCTGATTGGCTATAGCGCACCGGTCTGTGTAGACTCCGGTCCTGACCAAGACAGATGTTTGTATTAGGTTTTATTTACTGCAGTGTCTGTTAATTGTCCAAACACAGGCCGCTTTCCCACTCTATTTTGCTATAGAGTTTTCACAAATGCCTTAGTATACGTAATTCCCAAACATTCTAAGAATTAATGAAAACGTGAAAATGACCATATCGAAGTGGCCGCATGTCAGATTTTTTGAAAAGTGTCATTCTTTCTGGGGGTGTATATGAACACATTTTAATAAGATTTAATGTTGCTAAAATGCTGACAGTTCCACTTTAAATGCAACATAGTTTCACATACACATTATTTTCAAAGAGATGGCTAACAGCTAGCGCGCTGCAATAAAAAACACAGTTCCACTCACCAGATGATAATAATTTGAAACGTTATAGTTATTCTTGAAAAGGGAGAAGCTAACAAATTGGCAACAACATCCTCTTTGATAACACCTGCTGCAGCCGCTGCAAACTAGCCGACAACAAAAGCTAGCTAGCTAGATTGGGAATACTACTGCTCGCTATTGCGCAGTGGCATGTTGGCCTTCAAGAAGGCAGAAGTTTCCGTATGTTTTTGTAAAAACGGTCCCACTCATTAAGTCAAAATGTGATTGGTTGATTCCACTGTCACTCCAAAATGTTGCCCTAATACAGTTGAATGGCAGATGCCTTTATCTAGCTTCTGATGGCCTAGCCAATGGCTGATTTAGCTAGCTAGATGCATCTCCCCAGAGACCAGCAAAGAAAAATCCTGGTTGGATATCTTTTTCAAAAACTGAAGAGATTAAATCAGAACATCATTGAAAATAATATAATTATCATTATTTTATAAATCCTTAGCCCTTCTCTGAAGGCGTAGAAGGCCCATTGTTCCCCACTGTGTTTGGGTTAGTAATTATTTGTAGAGTGGCTCTATTTTCCCTCAGCATGCATTTTTTTCACTATTCTTAATGTCTAAAGAATCCATATGTTGTTCTTAAATATGAACACAGAAATACTGGACATTATGGTGGTGATTTGACAAAATTACAATCATGGTCTTGAATTGGACTCGCATTTTTCTGGTCTCGGTCTTGACTGTCTCTAACCCCTTGTCCCCCTACCGGTCTTGACTCGGTCTCGCTTTGCT